TTGAAAAACTCGAAGCTCGACGAGAATCTCAAAATCCTACAATGAAAATTTATATTAAATCATGCAAAATCTCGCATCATCAAATGTAACTTAAGTTTTAATGAATATGCATGTAAACTTTTGATCTTTTAATTAAAAGACCCGACTCGACGAGAATAATGATGATCATCTATTGTTTATTTTTTAATTATTCAAAATCCTACAATGAAAATTCAAAAACTCGCATTATCAAAATGTAGTTAGGTTTTGATGAATATGCATATAAGTTTTGATATTTTTAAAATTTTATTTAAAAACTAGAAACTCGACGAGAATATTTTAATCATTCAAATTTACACTAAATCTTACAATAAAATTTATTAAATCATGCAAAATCGCACATTATCAAATGTAACTTAAGTTTTAATGATTTTTAAAATTTTAATTAAAAATGATGATCATACATTGTTTATTTTTATTACTGCATAATAATAATAATAACAAAAATTGGTTAGTCACATTTAATAAATAAATTCAATGATGTTATTAATCTTGAAAATTATACTAAATCAAAGGCAATGTCTACTTTAAAAACAAGTGATGACTACAACATATGTGAAGAAGAAAATGGAAATGAGAGTGGAAGTGAAATCGAAAGTGTGAATGTTTTTTTTAAATATGTCTGAAGGTGATAGTTATCATGGCCATTCTTTGAAAGAACTTCCAATTATAAATAATACCAGTAATTTATCAACCATTTGCTCAGGTTGCATGGTATGTATGAATATAAATTTCAATTGTTTAAATTTTTATTAATAATGGTTTATTATTATAGGAATGGGAAAATCTATTTATTAATCATTCAATAAATTTGTTGCAATCTACTATTACAACAATGAGAGAGATCCAAGATAATAAGTTAAAAAATGATTCTACTCTTAAAGAGATTAAAGCATGTGTATTGGTAATGTTAATGGTCATAAGCAATTACGTTTGAATGTCTGTACCAAAATATCAATGTGCTAGTTCAGTATCTTGCTTTGTCCAAATGCCACAATTCAAACTAAAGAAATTATTTTGGAGAACATTTTGATACTTCAAATACTAGCATACAGATAAATTACGACATAATTGAAATGCCATCAAAGAAGCTCATTAAACACATGATAAAAAAAAACTCGATAAAAAAACTTACAATAAAACATTATTTTTTTTTCGAATTATTTCTCTATATATTAAATATTTAATATTAATATTAATAAAATACGGCAGGTCATCAAAAATATATTTTTTCTTATTAAATGTGGATCATAAAAATCCTAATCATTGATTGATAAATAATCGTTTGGTAGAAATTCTCTTAAGTTTATGTATTTTATTAAAAAGCAATTTTTTAAAGAAATTGTTATATTATTAATATTTTCGAATAAGCATCTAAAAATTATTTTTATTTTTATCTGATTATACATTGTTATGTTATTACAGCTATTACAGTAAGTGTGTTAATACTATTAAAAACACACACACTATAATTATACATAAATAATGAAACTGATTAATTAATAAGCTGAAATTTTATCACGGCCAATTTTTTTATCGTTTAACGTAATAAGGAATTGCTTTCCAATGATATCCTTAACTTTAAGTCCATCGATACTAACATTGCAATCAGAAAATTTGGCTCTAGGAGAATCAATGCTCAAGCCGAAAAAATCATTGGTCACCTCATTGTTTCCAATGAAAAATCTATAATCATTAATATTCGGGCTCACAAAACCATCGGAGAACACTGCAACTGTAATTAGCACTCGATGAGTAGCGCCAACGTCAAACTCCTCAACAAAGGTGATTATACCTTTGACTTTATCATTGTCACCGAATCTTGCAAAAGCAGCTTTGCCTATATCTGGTGGTGGTGCGCGTTTTTCCAAGGAGTTCACATCGCGTTTTTCTTCAAAAACTGGTGATGCATGGATAAATGCATTCGAGAAAATCATCATAATTAAAAGGGCAAATGCCAAGGATTTAAAAGATTTTGACAACATTTTTTTTTTTTTGTATATTAAAAATTTTTTATTGTTATTGTTATTATTAAATCTTGAGATGATTTAAGAATGATTTTTTGGAAGGAAAATGTGGATACGTTTTATACGTTTTCAACAAATAGATATTTTAGTAGTTGTAAAAACACAAGTTAATTTTATTGGAAGATATAAGTAAATTACATGTACTCCCTAGACAAAAGTATTTGGATGCCCATTTTTAATAATCATGCAAAAAACTCCATAATAACTATACATAATATTCTATCAAAATGTAGTTAGGTTTTGATGAATATGCATATAAGTTTTGATATTTTTAAAATTTTATTTAAAAACTAGAAACTCGACGAGAATATTTTAATCATTCAAATTTACACTAAATCTTACAATAAAATTTATTAAATCATGCAAAATCGCACATTATCAAATGTAACTTAAGTTTTAATGATTTTTAAAATTTTAATTAAAAATGATGATCATACATTGTTTATTTTTATTACTGCATAATAATAATAATAACAAAAATTGGTTAGTCACATTTATAAAAAATCATCTTTTTTTAATTAAAATTTTTCTAGACGTTCTAAAAATACCATAGCATAAAGACATCAAAAAAAAAAAAAAATCATGCAACTTCAAACTATTAATTATTTTCAGTGATCAAACACTAAATGTTGCAATATTGCAACAATCAGCTTCTTTGTTGCAACATACCCGCGACTTTACATAAAAACTATACATGATGTTGCAACATAATCACGGTGCAGTTAGACCAATTTTCTATTTATATTGTCTCTATTTTAAAAAAAATATTATTATAAAATATTTGATACGATCGGGGATCTTTAAAAAATGACAAACATGGTTTACACGTAGTTTGGTAATATCAATTACTAATATGGTTACCAAGTGTAAAATATCACTACATTTTGGGCCAAGTTTGTTTTTGTTACCAACAGCAAAGTTTGTCTTTAATTATTGTAAGAAAGAAATGGTTTTAAAATGCATAAAACATACTCGCTGGAGAAAAGAAATCGATATAACTAGAAAAGTAAGGATCGCGATATACTTTTTATTTGAATATAGCATTACATATAGATTTATACAACATTGCCGTGAGTTGCAACGCCGTAAATTCTGACTCCAAGTTGTATTTGTTGCAACACGAGTTGCAACACCGTAATACCGTAATTTTACATTACGGGTACCACTAAGGCTTTTTTTTATTAATAAAAACCCTCTATTTTTGCAATCTTTGGAACCTAAGTAACAATGAAATAGAAAATTTTATTAATAAAAAAAAGCCTTAGTGGTTAAAAGTTGCTATCAAAATGAGATTTTACACACAATGAACTTTCCTATGGGGAAAAAATCACCGCAATCCGTGACCAGAAAAAAAAACAATATGTAATAAGTTTAATCATTATATAAAATAAATAAATAAATAATAAATTTTATGTAATAATATAATTTGGCTAATTCTGATGCACCGAACAAACGCCGTAAAGTTCCAAAAGAGGGGAGAACCCTTTACAATAGAATCGATATCAATTGAAAATA